GGTCAGTCTCTTTCCTCTCCTGGAGAAGCCCAAGTCAGGCCCAAATTCAGCAAATCCTTACTGAGATACCTCCTCCGTACTGGGCTTTGGGCCTTCCTCAGCAGGAAGGGTCTGACTGGGTCCTCTGCACACCCAGCCTTTCGGAAAGCAAGCCAGGTCCGGCCACTTGGCAAAGCTGCACCAGGGTCAATTTAGCTTCACCGCGCCACCCCCATTACGGTGGTGGTTTTTAGCTTTCCAGGGCTGCTCTCTCATTCCCTCATTGGGAGACATATAGCAAAGAACCTGGGAGGAGTCTGGGTCTCTGGCTGACAGGTGGGGAAACTGAGGCATGCACCCCAGGGCACTGACTGGCTGAGCTGACATCTACGCCTGCATATTCCCTCCAAGCCAGGCTGCCAGCCACGCTTTCTAGAAGCCAGCTACTCTGCTGTGTAGTCACCCCACCACCCCCAGGGTGCAGAGATGTACGGGAGACAGCCCTTCTGCAGCTGGCAGCACCATCTGCCACTCTCTGAAGCGGGCAGCCAGCTACCTCCATCCAGAAGCCCATTTGTCCAGAGCCCCTGGCCTCCTGCAAAGGCTGATGGGTAAAGACAGTTGTCACGTCTGTGAATGGTTGCCTTTCTATCCGAAACCCCCTCTCTGCCCATCTTCAGCCCTAATACTTGAGCCGGCTTTCCCACTCACGTGCAAGTGCCTGAACACCCCAGCTGGTTGGCTGATGCAAGGAACTAGCCCTCGCCTATCACCCATGGGAGAACCACTGCATCACCCAGCTGCTGAGGCCCAAGGTCCTGGTCAGGTGGCAGTCCACCCTGCCTCCCAGCTGACTGCTTTTCCTGGAACTTCTCACATTTTCCCTGCTCATTCTCTGCCTGAACACGCAGGCTGCAGACACACAGGCTGCTAGAAGCACAACTCCACTGGCCCTACCTGACACAGCAGAGGGTGAGCTGCAGGAGGGACCAGGGGACCTTTCTCAGGGCATTCTCACCCAAGATGGAGGGGAGCTAGTGGCCTACGAGTGCCGCTGGCATTTAATTGTTCCAAATGTAATGAGGCAGAAAAAGTTGCGTTACCTACCGCCTGGCACAGAGCACCTGTTACAAGCCGAATAGTCTTTATCAAGCAAGGCGTTTATTAGGAATGCCACCTCTGCCCTTCACCAGGGTCAGTGTGATCCCCGTGGCGAGAGCTTCTGGGGGAGATGTGGTCCAGGAAGACTTCCTGGAGGAGGTGGCATTGAGGCTGAGATCTGAAGCGGGGAGAGATGGTGGCCAGACAAGTCAGGGTGCAGGCAACAGTGGAGGGGCTGGAAAGAGTGTCAGAGAATGCCTGAGCCACAGAGGGGCCACATCTGAAAAATGGAGCCAGAGAGATGTGGCCGGACAACAAGGATTTAGCATTTAAACCATAAACTGCATCGAGGCGGCCTCTATTCATGCTTCTTCTCAATCCCCCCCTTCACTTATACCACTACTGCTGCCACCACCACTGCCAACAGCCAAACATCCGCTTCATTCTTCCTCCCCTCCACACCAAGCATTTTATATTCACATTCCCACTGCAGCCGGCAATCCTTTTTTTTTTTTTTTAAATTTTTATTTATTTTTATGATAGTCACACAGTGAGAGAGAGAGAGGCAGAGACATAGGCAGAGGGAGAAGCAGGTTCCATGCACTGGGAGCCTGACGTGGGATTCGATCCTGGGTCTCCAGGATTGCGCCCTGGGCCAAAGGCAAACGCCAAACCGCTGCGCCACCCAGGGATCCCCCTGCAGCCGGCAATCCTATGAGGAAAGTTAAGAGTGTCTGTGTCCATTCTACAGATGAGAAAGTTGAGGCACTGGGAGGTTAGGGTCACACGCCTAGTCAAGTCACAACCAGGATTCAAAACCCAGCGGCTGGAGGAAACCTCTTTTTCCAGCCCAGGCCACCCTTGGCCTTCCATCCGACATGGTTTCATTTCCACGAAACAGGAGGAGGTCCACCTGAAGTGACTGGAGGCATGATTCTGGAACCTGAGGAAGGGGCAGGAGGCCCAGGCAATTGTGGGGGTGGGGCTGCCTAGGGGAGGAAGCAGGGAGGACGAGGGGTGGTTGGAAAGCTGCAATGAGCACAGGGACCCTGTGAGGACTAAGAGGTGACAAAGGGTGGGATTAGCAATAAACCTCTGAGGCCAGGTTTGGGAGCTGATGGGATAGAGCACCCTCCATCCTCAATGCACCTCTTTCTTGGTGGCTGTTAGCAGAGGGTGTAGGGATCCCTCCTTTCCTTGTGAAAATGTGTCATCCTTCCAGCTGAGGTGGAGTGAAGGGGGCAAGGAACATCAGGTGGCAAACCGATTCCTGGGGTTCTAGACTCTTCCTTTTCCTTGAGTGGTGCTAAGGTCAGGGTAGAGTGTGAGGAGTAGGAGCCCCTTTCAAGAATCAACATTCAAACTCTCATTTCCTTCCCTCCGGATTTTTCAGACTTTCCAGCATGAGGAATGGTTCACCTAATCATATCCAACTCCTGGCACCATACTGGCTGAAGTTGGGGTGATGTGGCGTTCGGCACGACGACAAGGCCAGCGCAGGCATCTGGGCACGTGCGTATGTGTATATTTACACGCATATTATAGCTCCCTCCCCTCCCACCTCCATCTCATTTAGCAGGAAATAAAAGGACCACGGGGCTGAAGCTCCAATCCCTCCTAAGCAGAGGGAAATCCGGGTGTCATGGTTTCCAGAAAGGGAATACAATCTCCGTATGGGGTGTAATTACATCTTAGCTTTCTGCAGAAGAATAGTTTATGGCTTAAATGCTATTAATTGTAAGCCGTTTTGTTCCACGGGAAGTTGTTCATTGATAACTACCCAATTAGGGTTATTTTGCAATTAGTCTATTCACAGTAAATTTATTGCAAAAGGGGAGGCTGTCGTGCAGCAAATTAAAGCAGTGCCAGGCTGGGTGTGCAATGGCTCTTAAATGCCAATCTTATTAACCAGCTCAGAGGTCCCGGGAGGGTGTGTCACCTTGGCTGACACAGTCGAGGCCACGGGGAAAGTCCCAGCAAACTTGAGCTTGCATGACCGCGCTGGTGGGGTCTCAGCTGGGCCAGGCAGTGCGTGGGAGTCCCTGGCCTCCACAGGTGACACCGCCCTTCTCCTTGCAATGATGCTGAGGATAGACAAAAACAGCCTATGGGCTGCAGGACTTCCCCGAGGTTGGACCACTTGAGATCAAGGGAAACCTTCTGCCTCCCGAGGAGAGGAAGGCCATGGGTAGGGATGCAGGCCCTGTGATCCCAGCTCTGCTACCTATGAACCGTGCACCTCCAAGCAAGTCCTAAGCCTCTCAGCCTCAACGTCCTCATCAATGCAATGGGTTGGTAACCGACCTACCTTCTAGGGCTGGTGTGAGGATTCGATGTGCTATAGAGGTGCAAACTGTGCTGTATTTACTACGACACAGGATTGGTATCTAGCAGGGGTAAGCAAACTATGGCCCACGGGCCAAATCCTGCCCACTGCCTGCTTTTGTCAAGTGAGTTTCATTAGAACATAACCAAGTGCGCTGGGTATGCATTGTGCATGGCTCCTTTTGTGCTACAACAGCAGCATCGGGTGGCTGGGGAGACTATATGGCTCACGAAGCCTCAAATATTTATTGTCTGGCCCTTTGCAGGACAAGTGTATTGACTCCTGGTATATAATGAGTGCCTGATATCACATTCATGGAAGGGCATTCAATTCAGGCCTCTGACACTTCTCTGCCAAGCCAGGCACTGGTTACCAAAAGATTCTGGAAACTTCTTCCTCCACTTATTTATTCCTCTACTCCATCAGCCAAGTGCCATCAAGAATATAAATGTGAACCACAGGGACAGCTTAGATGAGGGCTGAGATGCACGGGAGAAATGAATCCTTTCTTTTTAAGCCTTTCCATTTAAAAGAGAGCATAGTCCACATACACATTCACGACTGAAAACAAAAAATTGCAGATGCACAGTGAGTAAGAAGCCAAAGTTGTTTGTACCCCATGCAAAGGGGAATGTGCAAGGGCTCTGCTGTGTATCTTTCCACAGCACTTACAACACAGGGCCACTCTCTACCTGACCCAAACCCTAAAAATCTGAAAGAAAGAAAAAACTAGGCTCACGACGACAGTGCCAACCTCAAAGGGCACTGGATGAGATGAGCTGATCGAATGCAAAGTGCCTTGTACAGTGCCTGGCACACGGCGAGCTCTCGATAACTGCCTGCTGCTGCTACTCATACTCCCTCTTGTAGGAGGCACTGGAGAGGGTAAAACCCACAGCCAAGAAATGCACAAAACCCAGTCAACAGCATGATGTCGGACGCAGAGATATGCGATTAAGACCTCACCTGTGCAAAACTGTCCCCTCCACCTTCTGAGGGCCCTTCCACTGTGCTGATGTACGCCGCTGTTACAGCTCTGACCTCTCCTGGCATCATAGAGTGACAGATGGGATTTGTCACTGGCCCTCAGCACAGAGGACAGTGCCCAGGACAGGGGAGGAAGTGGGGAGAGATGGGGGAGGGTAGGGGGGAGTAGAGAGTAAGGAAGGAATTTTCGATGGAGGAAAAATGGGGAGGTTGTTTTTTTGGAGCCTCTGAAGTCAATGCAACCAATTAGAAAGCTTTCGAATCATATTCGATGACAAACACATTTGCGTCAATTTCAATCCCAATAGTCTGCTGAGCGAGAAAAAAGGAACCACATCAATAAGATCACCTGGAATGCCACATCGGCCCCGATTCCATGTATTTCATCCGTTGCCATCGAGGCAACTGGTTAAAGATGTAACAAAAGGGAATTTCATTTTGCCAAGTTTTTCTTACACACAACTTCGGAATTCAGGCAGTACCAGAAAAAAACCTTCCTGTGTGTTGATTGGGGTGGGATGGGTTTGGAAAAAGAGGGCGCTCATTCTCAGAAGGTGTGAGAATGGGAGCTGAATGGGACCCGGCGGGAGGAAGAGTCAGAACTCACCTTCCAGGGAGCAGAACCGAGTCACCTTCTTGGGCATCAGCAGCCCGAGCTTGTGGCGGCAGTAGGTGTCCCCGATCTCCTGGCGGCAGTGCTTGGACTTGGCGCGGGACAGGGCGGAGATGGCTTCCTTGCCAGAGATGTCGCACTTGGGGGGCTGGTCGTACCTGAGCTCGGGGGAGCCGCCCCCACTCTTCCTGGTGTGGGGCTGTCTCGGGGCATCCTTCCCACGGCTGCCGTTCACCGCGGCTCTCCCACCGGGAGGCAGCGCCTCGTGGGTGCCTTTGCCTGGGAACGACTGTCCCTTCCCCTTCTCTTCCTGCTCCAGCCTCCTTTTCATAAGCTCCTTCTGTCTACTTGGGGGCTTCTTTGCCAGCTCAGGCTGGTGCTTTTGTTTTTGAGTCCTGGGTGCGAAGTTGCTGTTGTCCACGTTCTCAAAGTCTTTGGGGACCGAGTTCTCATTGTTGCTATCTGTCCGCACTTTCTCTTTCGGCCGATGAGAAAAGTAGCCATCCTGGAGAAGATGGGAAGAAACACAGAAGAGGAACATCACTCAGTGGTCACGCTAAAGAGGTTGGCCCTTGGACAGTGGGGCACAGACGTTTGGGGATCCGGGCCCCGGTTTCACGCCATGCCTTTGCCATGAGCTTAATTTCAATGTAGACTTTTCTCTCTGGACCTCCATTTCCCCATCTGGAAATAGGAGATGTTCCAACTAGAGACTAGGACTTTGAAAACTCTCAAGTGCTCTATGATTCTCAAAGGTTTTGTTACTAACTACACCCCCTCCCCTTTCAAGTAAGTTTCCTTGATGGTCTCTGCCACTGGATTATGGACATTTTGTTGCAGCTTCCTGTTTAAATTCTAGCAGAGGGTGCTGTGATGGTTTATTTAAGGGCTGGTAATGTCATCATATAATTATCCAGGAAGAAAAAAATCAGTGGGATATTACATACATCCCATCGCCTTTAGGACATGCTCAGAGATCTATGCCTAAAAGAGAAATCAGATCCAGCCAGAGTTAATTTCGAGGGAGAGACATCCAGCCTATTTTGGAGAGGAAAACATCCTGTGCATTATGATCTTTATAATGAATTATGGGGGGTGGGAGGGTGGGGAGGCAAGTTTGTGATACTCTAGTGTTTAGCCTCTGATTCCTCATGTTTGTACCTGGAGCAGAACTGATTAAGTCACCTGGGGGTCAGGAGAAAGGCCAAGAATCACTCTGTAGACAATGCATGGTATGGATCTTCCCAGGAAGGCAGGTGCCCCCCAACTCAGCTTCTCCATACATATGCAGGCTCTGGCCATTTTTGAGCTCAGAGCAAATGTACCGTTCAACTAACACCCTGCATCAGTTCCAAAACATGTTGCTTCTGTTTAGAGACTATTACCAATGCCTTAACCTGAAGGAGTATCCACTGTTCCAAAGGAGCCCCAGAGGGGACCTCCAAAGCCACAGAGGATGTTAATTGGTTTCATAAATCTACCCCTGTTGCTATAGAAACACAAATTGCTATAGAGTAGCAATTTGAAGGAAGACCTCCCCTTTGGTTCTCCTAGATGTGCCTATAAACAGTTCCCAGAGAAGAGGATGGTGGGATGGAACAGCAGAGGCAGGGCTAGGGCCTGGGAGGGGCTGACATGGTCCTCCATAGGGCTCTTACTCTAGCAGGTTGGCAAACTGTGACCCTCCGTGGGCCAAATCTTGTGTGTCATCTTCTTTTGTAAATAAAGTTTTATTGAAAAACAGGGCAGCCCAGGTGGCTCAGTGATTTAGCACCGCCTTCAGCCCAGGGCCTGATCCTGGAGACCCGGGATCGAGTCCCACATTGGGTTCCCTGCATGGAGCCTGCTTCTCCCTCCCTCTCTCTGTGTCTCATGAATAAATAAAATCTTAAAAAAAAAAAAAAAGAAAAACAGTCACACTTATTTGTTTATGTACTGTCTACAGCTGCTTTCCTGCTACGACAGCAGAAACAAGCATTGCAATACTGTCCATCTGGTCTCCCTAAATATTTCTATCTGGCCCTTTAAGAAAAAGTGTGCAGCTATGACCTCTCCAGGAGTAGGAGTTTAGTAGGCTCCCCTCCCCTGGCTTGGTTCAGTTGTCCCCGACCCCAGGGCTCCCATGTGGCCCAGTAACAGTCTGGAGAAGAGCTATATCTGGCCCTTCCTCCATTTCCCCAGCATTGAGCACCTATTTCTCCCAGTTAGTGGAGGCCTTAAGAATGAAAACGGACTCTTAATATTCCTCATGGGCACTCTGTAAGTTGGACAGTGCTACTAATTCTCATTTTGCACGTGAGGGAACTGACCATTTGTGACTTGCCCAAGGTGACCCAGCTGGTGGGTGGCGAAGCTGGGATTAGGTTGCAGACCCATGGCCTGGGTTCCTGGTTCCACCACCCACATCCAAGAAGCCACAGAACCCCCCGTAATCCCCAGCACTGTATCCTATCTTAAGCACCGCACTATGGCCTTGTACCACAAGATCTGGCTCCCTTCCCATCCGCTCCTGCCCAGCCACATGGATATGGAATGGGCGTGTCCCCTCCAAATAGCCATCTCAAGTCTGGCCAATGGCCCACTGTGTGACAAGGAATCACAGAGAAAGAGGGACAAGAAGGGCCACAAAGCATGAAGAGCTCTAGGTGGAAGGAGCGAGGAGGTGACGGGGTAGGAGGGAGGACACAGATGCCAAGAAGGGAGAACTGAGTCTGTACTGGGTCACAGCACGGCTGCTGGTGTCACACAGGCTGGTATCATATCCTGGTCTGGGAAGGGGAAACTGTCAGTTCTGATACCTGGTGCCACATCTCTGTCCCTGTCCCCTAAATGAACCCCACTGATGTTCATCTTTCTCATTCTTTCTGCCCAGAGGCCCTTCAAAAATCCCAAGCAGCCGCTCAGATGCATTTTCTGAGCGCTGGCCACGAGCCAGGCACCACACACTCAGTGAGTCACAGGTATCACTCGCTGGATACAGTCACCCCAGAAGGAGGTATTCTCCTTGCCATTCTACAGAAGGAGCAGCCAAGGCTTGTCGCTCTAACACTGCTGAGCACACGTCAGGTGCCAGGCACCAAACCAAGCCCTGGCATGCGACAGCTTATTCAAGCTTCGAAAATAACTTGCAAGGCAGTTACTACTATTCTCCCACCTACAAAAGAGGCGGGGAAAGCTCGAGGATGTTCGGGAACTTGCCCAAAGTCATCTGGGGGAGTGGTGAACTTGCACCTGTCCGATTCTAAACCTTGCTATCACATAGTGCCTCTTCTATCTGGCTGAGGAACCGAGGAGCATTTCGCTCCCCCTTCGCTACTGGGGGGAGTGCAAGGGGTATCTCCCTCTTTGCTCATATTAACCTAGGTTGAGATGGAAATGGATATTGGGGGGCTGTTCTTTTTTAAAGATTTATTTATTTGAGAAAGAGTTATCATGAGCAGGGGGGAAGGGCAGAGGGAGAAGCACAGTCTCTGCTGAGCAGGGAGTTCGATGTGAGACTTGATCCCAGGACCCAGGGATCATGGCCTGAGCTGAAGGCAGACACTAAACAGGCTGAGCCTCCCAGGCACCCAGAGGGCTGGTTTTCAATAAGGCTCCTGACAAATATTTCAGGTTTTTTCGTCTAGGCACATGATAGGGCTGTATTTCCCATACCCTGCAAATCAGGCACAGCCAAGCATCTTGCTGTGGCCAAGACCAGTGATTAGAACTGGGGTACCATTTGCCACATTCCCCTTTCCTCCACAGCATCTAACTACACCCCCGATGGTAAAGGTCCCACATTCCCGAGTGAGGCTAGTGCGGAGCACAGACCAAGTCTCGAGGGGCAGAAATAAACCTCCTACGCTTTCCATCACTGGCATGTGGGGATCTTTGTTACTGCAGCACGGACTAGCTCTGAGCCCATCTGATCTGCTTCCTTCTCCCTAGCTGTCCTCGGATACAGGAGCCAATCTTTGGATGGTGTGTTTTGGTTTTGTTCTGTTTCTTGGCCTCTGACAGAGAACCAGTTGGATGAGTACGAATGCCTGAAAATATGAATTCAAACTCCGTCCCTAAGCTCGTTTTCTAGGAGTTACCACGATGGCAGACAGTAGGAGGACGAGTCCCCCTGTCCCCACACGCAGTCATCTGATCCTCTCTCATCACCCACGGCCTAAGTGTCATTCTTGGGTTGTTCTTTTTCCTCATTAACGGAGGATTGCGAGTCCGGCCCTGAGCAGAAAACCTCCATAAACCACTAATTTCAAAAGCTCACGTTCTCTACCACTTTTTGGCAGAACTTGTTCAGGCAAAACCAGACACAGGAAACGCTGCAATCAGTGAAGCTAATCTGACCAGTAGAGAATGGCTGATTCCTCTGGTTAATTTGTGATATCAGGACCAGGCGCCACCATCAATTCTAATATAATTCCTGATTCATAAGCGTTGTCTACTCAGAGAGGCCCCCACCACGGGGATGATTAGCTCAGTGTGGCCCTGTGGCCTTCCGCCTGGCCCCAGATGCTCCACAGCTGCCAAAGGAAGTCAAAAGATTCGAGTGTAAGAAGCAAAGGAAAGATTTGTCTTCTGGAATGAAGAGTTCAAAGATCTTAGAGAGCTTCTGGAAAAGTCAGAAAGGGGCGGAGTCGGCTAGAAACAGGCATCTTTCAGAGGCCCAGAACCTCTTGGCTTACCAAGTCAACTCTGTTTTCTAGAGTAGTTGATGAATTCTCCCTCAGCATGCCCCTACTCTGTTCTTTTTTAAATTTAATTAATCTATTTAAGAGGGTGAGTGTGGGTGAGGAGCAAGGGCAGAGAGAGAAGCAGACTCCCTGCTGAGCAGAGAGCTGGACACAGGGCTCGATTCCAGGGCCCTGAGATCAGGACTTGAGCTGGAGGCAGATCCTTAACCGACTAAGCCACCTAGGCGCCCATGTTCTTTCTTTTTTTAAATTTTACTTTCTTGTGGTAAGAACACTTAACATAAGATCTACCATCTTAATTTTTTTTTGAGTGCACACCTATAGGTGTGATGTTGCACAGAACATCTCTAGAACATATTCATCTTGTATAATTGAGACTTTATGCCACTTGATTAGCAATTCCCCACTTCCTCCTACCCCAGCTCAACAATCACCATTTTACAGATTCTGAGTGTGACTAATTTAGCTGTCTCATATAAGTGGGCTCATGCAGTATTAGTTTTTCTGTGACTACTTATTTCATCTTGCACACTGTCCTCCAGGGCCATCCATGTTGTTGCATATGGCACAATTTCCTCCCTTTTTCAAGGCTGAATAGTACTCCACTGTTTGCATACACCATATGTTCTTTGGGATATCCCTTTACCTCCCTAGTAAGTAACTCTTCATCTGCGCACCAAAGATAAATAGGTCTCTGCTCTTTCTCTAGAGAATCAAGACCCAGAAATCCAAATCCAGGTTGCCTTCCCAATAAAAAACAGCCTCGGGAGGTTTCCAGGCAAATACAGGCAAGGTAACCATCATGTCCTCAACACCCACA